CTCTCTCTCTCTCTCTCTCTCTCTCTCTCTCTCTCTCTCTCTCTCTCTCTCTCTCTCTCTCTCTCTCTCTCTCTCTCTTGCGTGCGCGCGCGCGTGCGTGCGTTCACTCGTTCAAAGTGCGTGTGCAGCACTTGTCGAAGTGAACGTGGGGAACGCTTGACGCGTACTGCACGACTGTGTCGCGTGCGAACACTCCCCCCGCTATATACCGCCCCGCGACGAAACGCGGGCCTTTTTTTTTTTTTTTTCGGGACTACAACCTCCCAACAGGCTCCCCTGAACACCGGCCACGCTCCAGCGGCCTCAGAGGCACCCCCCCAGCCCCGACAGACCCCTGCGCAAACGCGTCAACTGCGTTCAGGGGCATTCAGTGAACGCGCGTTCACTGCGTTCAAAAACTGAACGCGGAACGCGCGTTCAATGAACGCGCAGTAACATAGGATGCGCGCAGTCATCTGGAACAGCACCATGGGGGAACTTCATTCCAAGGCCACACGGCAGCTGCAGCAAGATCTGAACCACAACGTGAAGACACTTGCAGCAGCCGTCAAGGTTGCAGACTCCCAGCTGAAACAGTTGGACGCCCGCATTGCTACTCTGGAGGCARGGCCTCCCCAAGCAGCGCCAGGYTGCACGACRGACRYRAYGAAGCAGCTCAAYGGGCGCATCGATCATSTCGTCAATCTYATCGGCGACYTAGGTGCTTTCACTGGGCCGGACACGATCAGTAGCACGGTGGCCGCCATCAAGACGGACATCACCAAGCTGCAGACGAGACCGGACGCCGCTACCAAGAATTTCAAGATGCCGCAGTTCACCATTAGCAAGTTCGATGACTACAACAAGACCGACGCTTTGACATGGTGGCAAGGTCTCCTCACGGAAGCATCCTGCCGCACTGTCCCGACTGAAGACATGTTGAAGGCGCTCTACCTACAACTGATTGGAGGAGCGCAGGCATGGATGAATCACCTGGCGGCTACCAAGCAATGCACCATTGCCGAACTCCACACGCACATCACGTGGAAGGAGTTCGAGCAACTATGGTTCACTCGATTCATGGTCCGCAACGTCGTGAAGGCGGCCATGAACGAGGTGTACACTTGCTCACAGGGAAATATGCCAACTCGAGACTGGACGATTAAGTGGCAAAAGATAGTGACCACGCCAGGCTTCGATTTGAGTTTTACAAACCAACGATCCGAGTTCTTCCCGCGATCATGCGCAGGATTGCGGTCGGTACTCGGCAACGAGTACGACTATACCTCGTTCCAGGCTATTCTGGACCGCGCAAACCTGGTCATCCAAACGGACGACAAGGCCGCTAACGAGAAGCAGTCCCAGCCGCACTATGTGGCTAAGCCGGCCTATCAACGACCAGCATATAACAATGTTGTGATTTCTGAAGAAACAATCGATCTCCACGCTGCAGCAGCATCCTCGAGTGATGGAAGAATTGTAGCAGCGCTCCCGCCGAAGCGTCCCAAGAGAGTTCGGAAGAACAAGGCGACACAAGGGACGACATCGACGGGAACTGGGCAGCAGCCATGGACGACATACAAGATAACCAAGGAAAATCTATGACCTTCGTCAAGGGTACGGATATTGCCTTTGGTGCAATGGAGTCACTCATTTGACCGCACAATGCCCCGAAAAGGGCAAGGCACGCGTACCCCGTCCAGCTAACTGAGTTACGCAAGGAGAGGGGCGACGTCTCTCCTCACTCCGCCGGACCCGGTTGCCTTGCTAGCAATCGATGTCACTACCGGGGAGCATGCGTTAGTCGCTGATTCTCGTGATACGTACGAGTATTATGCCGCCCAGCTGGTACCACCACTAGACCAGCCAAGCCACGTGCACTTAGATTGCGCATGCGCAGCCTGTACACCGTCGGCAAGTGATCCGGTCAGCTCGCCACTGATTTCCGAGGACTCGACGGCGTGGTCAAGACTTGAGGAGCTTGACCCGCTCACGAGAGAGGACTTCGCTTGGATGCCTCTACCCTCGACCGGAACCTTGCCAAGGCCGCATTGCAATGCCTTGATGGCAAATCTACGCTCCTATTTGCACACTACAGTACAAGCTTCGTTGACGGACGACGGGGTAGCGGTTGTCGATCTCCGCTCCTATCTTGCGAAGATTGACCGCGAGTATGCCACCCAAAGGTACGCTGAAACCGACGCGTCTTTGCTCTATATCCACATTCAAGTCGGAAAGGCAACCTGTAGTGCCTTGATTGATTGCGGAGCGTCTCGCAACTTYATGAGTCAAGCCTTTATGGCCCGCGCAGGCCTTGGCCCGCACGTTCGAAGGAAGACGCAACCCACGCAAGTTATACTCGCGGACGACCGCACGCAAAAGTCAATTGACCGATGCGTCGACGGCGTTCCGGTATACTTTGCGCCACTTGCGTGCGAGCTGGTGTCTTTTGACATCCTCGACACCAAGTTCGACATGATTCTAGGCATGTCTTGGTTGCGTAGCGCTGATCATCCGGTGAACTTCCACGACCGGACCGTTCACATCCGTGATCGGAACGAAATGTTAGTCCCATGTACGGTCGCAACCCCTCACACTTCGATTGCTTGTCACGTGGTTTTCGTTGCAAGAATTCGCAACGCCATTACTCGGAATGACGTCGAGGAGATGGGCCTTGTATTCTTGTATGCTCTCCCCTCGCCGGACGGACCAGCCGCGTCACCGCCGGACCCACGCATTTCTCACCTCTTGGACGAATATAGAGACGTCGTCGAGGCTCCCGCTGGAACGGTTCCGGATCGGCCCATACGTCACGGGATCACTCTTGAGGCTTGCATCGTCCCTCCGCGTGGATGCATCTACCGCATGAGCGAAGAGGAACTCGAGGTGCTATGCGCACAACTCGATGACCTTCTCGACAAGGGATGGATTCGCCCTAGTTGTTCGCCCTACGGTGCCCCTGTTCTCTTCRTCTGGAAGAAGAACAAAGATCTACGGTTATGCATCGATTATCACAAACTTAACGCACAAACCGTAAAGAATGTCGGCCCTCTCCCTCGGATTGATGATCTCCTTGAGCGGTTAGGCGGCGCGACGTACTTCTCGAAGTTGGACTTGAAGTCGGGCTACCACCAGATTGAAATCCAGCCTCAAGATCGATACAAAACCGCGTTCAAGACGCGGTACGGGCATTTTGAGTGGGTTGTCATGCCTTTTGGCCTCACCAATGCCCCCGCGACTTTCCAAGCAGCTATGACGACTGAGTTTCGCGACTTGCTCGATCGCAGCGTCCTCATCTACCTCGACAACATCTTGGTTTATAGTAGGACGTTGGACGAGCACATCATACACCTTCGCGTTGTTTTGGATCGTTTGCGACTGACCAAGTACAAAGCGAATCTCGACAAGTGCGAGTTCGGCAAGCAGGAGCTTGAGTACTTAGGACATTTTGTCACGCCGAAAGGCATTCGTCCCTTAGCGGACAAGATCCAAGCCATCGTGGATTGGCCGGAACCCCGTTGCACGACGGATGTACGCTCTTTCATGGGTTTGGCTGGATATTATCAGCGATTCGTCGAGTCATACTCGAAAGTGGCCGCTCCTTTGTCGAGACTTCAGTCCCCGAAGGTGGCCTTCGAGTTCGACGACGCAGCCCGTGGCGCGTTCACTACGTTGAAGGCAGCGATGCAAGCCGCACTTGCCGTCTGTATATACGACCCCAACCTTCCCACCCAAGTGACTACGGACGCTTCGGGATACGGTATTGGTGCGGTGTTGGAACAATGTCACGAGGACGGTGGGCATCCGGTCGAGTATTTCTCCCAAAAGGTGCCTCTCGTCAACACTCTCGACGGCGCTAGGAAGAAAGAGCTACTCGAGTTCGTCACCGTTCTCAAAAGGTGGCGCCACTTTCTTCTCGGCCGTCGGCGTTTTAAATGGAATACGGACAACAATCCATTGACCTTTTACAAAACGCAGGATACGGTCACTAGCACGATCGGTCGATGGATGTATTACATCGACAAGTTCGACTTTGACCCGTGCCACATTCCCGGTCCAACCAATCGAGTTGCGGACGCCCTCTCACGACGGCCCGACTTTTGTGCCATTGTGACCATGACATTCGACCTCGATGACGATCTGCAGCCGAATTTCGTCAAAGGCTACAAGTCCGATCCGACTTACTCTACGTTTTATGTGGAGCTTTCATCGGATCACCCGCCGGCTAGCCACTATCGGATTTCTGACGGGTTCCTTCTCCTTCACACGAGAGGAAAAGACATGTTAGTTGTGCCCCAAGATCACATCTTACGGACTCGTCTTCTCGGCGAGTTCCACGACGCATGAATTTCGGCACACCTTGGCGTGAACCGCACATTAGCACGCCTCCGCCAACGTTTTCACTGGCCCGACATCCTTCATGACGTCACGAGGTACATTGAGTCATGTGCAGTTTGCCACCGTAACAAGGGTCGATCTCGAGTCCCCTTCGACGAACTGAAACCGTTGCCGATTCCTCGGGCACCGCGCCTCTCCATTGCTATGGACGTGACAGGCTCGTTCCCCCGCGATCGCCACGGCCATGACGGTATTCTCACGGTCGTTGACCGTTTGAGCAAGTATACTCGCTTCCTTCCTTGCAAGTATCATGCTACAGCGCCTGAGCTCGCACGACTCTTGCACACCGGTTGGATTACAAACCAGGGTGTTCCGGAAGACAGTGAGCGACCGAGATACTCGCTTCATGTCAGCCTTTTGGACTTCCCTCATGGCTGAGTCCGGTACGACAATGAAGCCGAGCTTGGCTTGACACCCGCAGACGGATGGCCAGATGGAGCGAGCGCACCAGACCACTCAGATGATGTTTCGTACGCTCATCCGTCCCGACCAGAAAGATTGGGTTGAGTGGCTTCCCGACATCGAGTTCGCCTATAACACTTTGGTGCACCCGGCGATCTTCGTCGCACCATTCGAGCTACATCATGSTGGAGAGAAAGCACGGATCTTCGCTGATCTCCTTTTGCCACAGGCTGCCGGCATAGACGTCCCTTGCTCACCCGCTTCCGTTCGGAAGTACCGGGACGTGCTGATCAAAGCCCGCGCGAATATGCAAAAGGCTCAGATCCGCATGCAGCAACAGGCTAACCGACGTCGACTTCCATGTCCTTTCCGCGAGGGAGACCTTGTTTGGGTCCTCTCCGAGGAATTTGCGCTCGAACAGGACGTTTCGCGCAAACTCCTTCCGAAATGGTTCGGACCATGGGAAGTCACTTCTGTCGTTGGAGACGACCCCGCAGGTCCTTCCTTTGTGGTCAACATTCCTCCGCACCTTCCAGTGCACCGGGTCTTCCACGCGTCGAAGCTGGCCATCTACACGCCACCTTCCGCCRACGARTTTCCCGGCCGTCGATCACAGGATCCGCCTTCTATGGACGGACATCAGGAAGTCGACCGAGTCGTCACGCACCGCAAGTATATCAACAAGCCAATGCAGTTCAAAGTCACATTCAAGCAATGTGCGCCTGATGACACTCGGTGGATCTCCAGTACAGATTTGCAGACTTCTGCACCCCTTATCTTCGTCGACTATGAGAAGCGACGCCTTGCTAAGGAAGCAACTCGTCCCGCTCGACCCACCCCGGTATCGGACAGACAACTCCGCCCTCGCACGTAGCTCGGTCTTTTAAGAGGGGGAGTGTGTTACATCTTCGACGCCACACGGGTCCTACCGGACCCGACTTAGGGCCAGAGGGACACAGTAGGGCCTAAAGGCCCGACCTTGGGGTACTACAGGCCGTAAAGGCCTCATCTTGGACAAGACCCGACGGGCAGGCCCAAACGACATTATCGTTTGGGCCTGGCGGCGCTCTTGAGGCTGCCGCCCGCCGGGTGGGGCTGAACCGTCCATCTTGACGGTTCAGGGCACGGCCAGGCCTCACAGCATAGAGGCCGGCCTTTGCCCCACTGGTACAAAAGTACCGGTCCAGCCTCAGTTCGGGATCGAACCACCGACATTCTACGCGGTGCGTTATGGTTAGCGCCAGAGCGCTAGCGCTATTCTTAGCGCAGGAGCACGAGGAGCAGCAGCGGCAGCGAGCGGAGCAGCAGCAGCGGCGACTGAGCAGGATTGGCGGCCATAGCCGCCTGAGGTATCGGGAGCCGGAGGTTCTCTCCTTCCTCCCATCGCCAGTCCCCTCTCTCTCTCTGTCCTCCTTGACTCCCTTCTTCTTCTTCTATCTCTTCTTTTTCTTCTTCAGACTTCATCTTCTTCTTCTTCTTCTTCTTCTTCTTCTTCTTCTTCTTCTTCTTCTTCAGACTGGAGACTTATACTAGTTGGACAGAGATCAGAGTTGGACTTCGGTGGTAAGAGGTTATGGTACTTACCGGGTTCGAGACTTGGAGATTGTCGGGGATGATACTCGGCTGCATCACATATTGGACATCGGTTACATTAGGACTCTGTATCTCCGACATTGGTGACTTACTGTCCTCGATATTTGGATCTTGTTCGATGACATTTTGGATTACCATATCGGTGACCTTGGTTTCTATCTCGGTGACATGTGGTGTTACCTACATCTGCCCCCTTCCTTCGTCTCTCCTCCCACCTTCAACTGTGTATGTGTGGACGGGGCTGAGCATCGTCTATGTATGGCTCAGACTCCACCATCTCACGATTGTATGTGTGTGGAGTGATATCTATGTGAGTCAGTCTATGTGAGTCAGTCCGTTTCTCAGACTTCCGTTGCATACATACTCATCCTATATTGGTTGATCTTTGGTTCTGCCCCATACTCGTTGATAAAATCACGAGTATGTAACAGGAAGTCTATATAGTTTAGAGTGAATCTTCCCCTGTTCCACTGACAAGTTCAATTAAATTTAGCGAATTTGTTGAGTAATGGAGTGCGGCCATAGCCATATTCGATTTTATTTCGGTCGTACTCACCATCATGCTGCTTGAGGCAACTGTGCTTCGCGTCAAGTCCGCGCTCCTCGTAGTTGCTTCTAAGCCAACAAGGCTACGAGTGGAGTCTGAGTCTTGGGTAACCATTGAGTCCTTGCAAGGCCTGATTGGCTATTGAAATATTGATTCAAAGGGAGTAGAAGTTGCCGTGTTTGACCTTGGTAACTAATGCTGGTGCCCCTCAGCAGCATGATTGTAGCTGGCCATATGGGCTAGTCTGTTGCAGCTGGCTTCGAAGTACTGTTACCAGTTCCTTTCCAAAGCTGTCACGACTGTTGTTCATACCCAAATTGGAAGCTGCAGCTATGATGCTGCTTTGATTCGTTGCTGGAACTTGAGACGCAAATGATTGCAGGGTGTATATTATGCACTACAGTCTGTTGTCCGTTATAGTTCATGATGTTGTTGAGCACCATGCTGCCGATACGACTGCTTCTTGAAGCACTCTCGATGCTTTGAGACTCATCCGGTGCATTTGGAACTGCAGATTGTGCCTTCAGGTAAGGCATAGCGTGTGAAGCCCAGACTGACATTGAAGCTTTGATCTGCTCTCCACTCAGAGACTACTTGACCATCGACTTACCGTTGCCAGGGGCAGCGCGCTTCGAGTACGACTGAGATAATCTGTTTAATATGTTTTAACTATTGGGGTTGTTGAGCCACATAACTGTTGTTGTTGTTTGTAGTAGGAGCGGATTGTCGATCCCGTGTGTTCGAGTGTTCTTGACTCCCCTTTTTAAGTAAGTTACCACTGGTGATCGGACTCCAAACTGCTGCGGGCTTCGCGAAGAATGGATGACTACTATTTCAACAGTGGCAGCCTGCTGCCCCTACGAGCCGAGTCCGTCGACAGTCGCTGACCTTCTCAGCAGGTCCCTGTTGTTCTGATTTTCTACTATGGACACTTTACCTTTTGCTGCAGATCTGTCTTGCTGTCGGTATTACCGATCTTCGGACTGGTAGTTCTGGAGACAAGAGCTACTGCCGGACGTTGTCAAGCCTGGCTGCTACGCACTATTGCTGTGTATTACTACGTTCATGCCCGCGTTCGAATAGAACACAGGGGATGTGCTATATTCGAACGCAACTTTTTTTAGGCTGGGTAGCGGCTGTTTGGTTGGAAGTGGAAGCATTCTGACTTGGCAAGGTTGTGAAGCTGTGCGAGGGGATTATTGAGGGGACTTGGAGGCTGGTCAGGGAACTGTTTTCGCTGACTTTTGGCCACGGCTCGGACGTCTTTACTGCGTTTTCGACCACCATTGTGAGGTCCTCAGGAGCTGAAGGCAACAAGGCTCTTTCATGTGAGTTGAGTTGGCCCTTTCTCGTACCTCGAACGTCTGACTCATCTTCTTCTATCCTTCTTCCTCTAAGTCTAGTCTGTGTTTGGAGAGGAAGGCGGCAGGCGGGATTGCAACTCGTAGGACGACATCAAAGCCTTTGTGGGAGGTCGACCCACCGATTGCGGGAGCTCTGCCGGAGCTCACGCGGGACTCTGGACGCAAGGAACTCAAAGGTTGGCCGACACTATACCATTAGAATCCCAATAAACCCCTATCTATATGAACCCGGTGTTTGGTCTGTTTGACTTTGACTTATGTATATGTTTTGTTTTTTTTTCCTGGACTTTAACTGAATCTGAAAGGAAACCTACTATGCATGATTAATTCACCTGTCTGTGGAGAAAAGTTACGATTTTTGCATGCGAAGACATTGAAATGGGTCTGGAGATGAGGTCCTCCTGATTGATCCGGTGGCTTTATTGTTTGCCTACGACATTGAAATGGGGTTGAAGATGAGGTCCATCAGACTGAACCGGTCGCTTTGCTGTTTGCCTAAGACATTCAAATGGGGCTGAAGATGAGGTCCTTCAGACTAATCCAGTCGCTTTGCTGTTTGCTTAAGACATTGAAATGGGGCTAGAGATGAGGTCCTTCAGACTGATTCGGTCGCTTTGTTGTTTGCCTAAGACATTGAAATGGGGTTGGAGAGGAGGTCCTTCAGACTGATCCAGTCGCTTTGTTGTTTGCCGAAGACATTAAAATGGGGTTGGAGATGAGGTCCTTGAGACTCATCCGGTCGCTTTGCTGTTTGCCTAAGACATTGAAATGGGGCTGAAAATGAGGTCCTTTAGACTAATCTGGTCGCTTTGCTGTTTGCTTAAGACATTGAAATGAGGCTGGAGCTGAGGTCCTTCAGACTGATTTCGTCGCTTTGTTCTTTGCCTAAGACATTGAAATGGGGATGGAGAGGAAGTCCTTCATACTGATCCGGTCGCTTTGCTGTTTGCCTAAGACATTGAAATGGGGATGGAGATGAGGTCCTTGAGACTGATCCGGTCGCTTTGCTATTTGCCAAAGACATTGAAATGG